TGACACTGACCCAGGTACGTTTAAATAAATGTATTTGTCTATCTGTGAATAAGATAGTCGTGGCTAAATTGATACGTGCCCGTGTCTGAATCGATCTCTAGTTAATTTTGATGCATGGGATCACGAGTTCTATGTGATACAAAATACTGACTGAGGTTGACGCCTCATGTATTTTCTCAAACGAGATTGTTTCCACGGATGCTCTAAATATATGGCCAGCCACTAAAATTCGCCCCTGTACTGTAGCTTACTACTATGGCTGACTATGGATGGTCTCGTAGTGTTCATTGATATTAGAAAGTGAGTATTGATTTAGGCGTTCCATTCGGAGAGTTTGTTTTGATCGAGTCTGTATAACCAAGTCAGAGTAGGTAAATCCTATAGGGATGCCCCACCATAATATGAGAGAGCGAGAGCGAGAGCGAGAGCGAGAGCGAGCGAGAGAGCGAGAGCGAGCGAGAGAGCGAGCGCGAGAGCGAGCGCGAGAGCGAGCGCGAGCGCGAGAGCGAGAGAGTGTGTGTGTTTGAATCTAAAATACAACACTACATAGGATGGAGAGGTGAGATAAGGTGGAAGGCAAAATTTGTAATTTACTATAGTACTACTGCTAGTACTACTGGAGATAGAGAGACTGTTTTCATCATAAGAGGCAGTCAGTGCTCACAAGTAGCAGTAATAGCAGTAATCCTGATCGGTAGGAGAGAGATTGACCAGATTACTATTGATTCACCTGTGACCGCCAAAGACTCACGCTACCATGTAGAAGGGGGACCCGCAGTCTATTGATCCATGTTAAAATCACCAATGTGGAGGAGACAGCTTGTTCACAGTGAAATCTCTATGAATACAAGAAAGGCACATATGGGAAATCAAGCTAATATTGCTGCTAGAGTTTCAGTGTCTGTTGTCATATTGTCGATCAAGTAAAGTAAAGTAAATACATTTTATTTTCCATGCGTGGGTTGCCCCCATATATTAATACAGCATTTTCTTTACTTGCTTTTACTCAGTGTAAGTCAAGTGGGATAGTTCAGTGTAAAGAAAATATAGCAAGTGATATAGTTATGACAGAGACACTGACCAGAGTTGCTGACTTATTAAATACAATACAACAAGGAGACATAACCACATAACACCCTGTTTAATCCTACCTCTATCTCTGCATGTCTTCCAATTTCTGGTTAAACTCTCCATGTGGATATGTAGCGATTTACACTATTTTGAACTATTTCTTTGTTTGTTCCTCAAGCTCCTTCAGGCTTTTGTCTAGTCAGGATCCACTTGTAAACCCTCTGTGTTCTCTGCTGCCTCCAATACTCACTTATCTCCCTGCCTCATAAAAGTTGGAGAGGGATTGTATTTCCCTGCCTGCTAACTGTCTGCAGCCATTATACACATGGCTTACATTTGGAATGGATTTGAGGGCCTGATAGATCACCCCTGTCGCCTCTTAGTGGCTGGCATATATTAGGCCTACTTTGGTTTTAGCAAGACAAACTGTCATGTATTTGAAGGAGAATTGATCTATTTGATACACCTTACTGAGTACATTTAATCAAAATCTCTGTCCATGCTGAGTGTGCCATGGAGTAGTAACAGTAGAGCTCCTAAATGGATGAGATAGAGTGGAGAGCACTTACAAAATCCCCCAAAATACACCTTCCCGCTGCAGTCCTGCTTGGTTTAGCCCTGTGGATTTAAATGAGCAGAAGGAAGTAGAATGCTGAGCCACCACTCAATACATAGTTTAAAAATGCATTGCGTGAGTCATCTAACCAACCAGCTAGGCAGCCCAGTGCAGAGCTGCATTAGGAGGACTGAACACTGCTCCTTGACTGGAAGGATATTTATGATGTTGCTGCTAATCCAGTGCAGTGAAGAAGACACTCAGTATCTGGATCTCAGTATCTGGATACAACAGAATGCTATATAGGCTGCTTTTACACAGCCTAATTCTGATGTTTTTTCCACCAATTGGTCTTTTGACCAATCACATCAGATCTTTTCACATATATTTTTCAGAGCTGGTCTGATTGGTCAAAAGACCAATTAGTGAAACAAATATCAGAATTAGGCTGCCTGTCTGAATGCAGCCATATTGTCCTAGCTGTGTTCCCATGGTAGCACACTGCACGCTGCGATCAGCTATGTGGTTTGTTTAGCATCACGCTGCTGATTCGCTGTAGTGTAATTTGTGATGCTGTGATGATAGTGCACCAGGTCCTATTCTTCAGATTCGTCTCAGTGAGTGAATCCAATTATATTAAAATCATGAGCTTTATGTGGAGGTAGGTAGCCTACAGTATGGGATTAATTACAGTGTGGCATATCCATGCATCATGATGGCAACTGTCCAACCTTTAAAGAAAATAGCCATATTTTCTTTTTATAGCAAGACTTCTCCACAAAACTTATTTGTATTTCACTCAACCTTTTTTCTGTATTTAATCAAAAGGGATTTACAACTCTCCTTCATTGTACTAGTATAATGATATTGTTATAATGAGTTGGCAGCCTTTAAATAAGATAGGGATGGGAAATTATACTGTCTGCATTTATTAATTGGTTTGGAGCTCCTGTGAAAGATGAGCTACTGTATTATGTAAGTGCACTAATATGTCCTCAGTTGCTGCACAGTGCAGATAGTACAGGGAAGCTGATGAGTATTTTCTCTGACTGGTGTTTAAATATGAAGCCTATAATGTATAGCTTAACCTTTTCTTCTAACTTGTTTATTTGTTTTTGCTTATTCACCATTTTAATATTTTATCTACTCAACTATTCTATCTACTTAATTATTCTACTTAACCTGCACACACAGCAGAGAATGACAAGTACAATTGTCACATTCATCCCTGCTCTTCTCGTTCTCTTTTGACTTCCTCTCAAATATGTCTTATACAGTGTGTGTTGTGTATGGTGGCATTCCATCCAGACAGAGGTTGTATCAAGGCAGGCAGAAGACAAGTGACCGTGTTGCTGAAGAACAGTGGCAGAGTTGTTGAAGAGGATGCTTGGCAGCTGCATGGACTTCCACACTGGAGGGCCAGAGAGTGGCTCAAATAAGACAGGCCATTGAGGGGTCATTGTGTTGGTAGATTGTTCTCAGCGCGGAGTGGGGGTCTTGTCTATTGTGTTGGCCAGCTGCCCGGGCAGACAGACTAACAGATATATCTTCATCTTTCACTGAGCCAGCATTGACTTAGTAGTGACTGAGTAGAGACACTGTGTGTGTTTGTGTGTGTGTGCAAGCGTGTGAGTGCATCTGTGTGTGTGCGCTAGTGGTTTGTTCAACCGTACCCGCCCGCAATTGCTAACAACCCCCACACAAAAACAACCCGACTAAATGTGATAAAGTGAAAATGTGAGGCCCGCACCCGACCCTTACGCGCTAATATACAAAATGCGCTGTAGGCTACAGTCAGAGATAGCAGAGCAATTTTGGTAGGCTATTTGTTAGTAAACTTGTCTAAAATTAGATACTGTACATGCAGCTTCTCTTCTGTAATTATATGTTGCCCTAGAAGACTAAAGAAACCCTTGCTCACCAGAATAATGTCATAAATCGAGAGAATGAATGCTTCAATCTAGTTGACATCGGTAAAGTTTTCTTTGTCATCTCTGCTTCTTTCATGTAGCAAAGACGTTTAGGAACCGGGGAGTTAATGCAATAGCAAAACAAAACAATTTTTTTTTCTGTGCAACATTTCCAAATGACATCAGTTTGACCATTTGTAAGGAAATAGAAAGCTGTGAAAACGACCCAACATGTTTCTGATAAGATTTCAGTTAGGTTTGGATGCATATTTTATGTGATTGAAATTGTGGTGTCGAGACAACGATGCTGATATGCTGTGTAGGCAAGAAATCCGCGGACACTGTACTTGATTATAAAGAAATCCGGAGAACAACTAACCCAATCTAAAAATGATTATTCTCCCCGTCCTTTGTTGAAAACCTGATATATATCCTATGTAACATAAGATGGGTGGTTTGAATAGACCAATCCCTGGCTTCCACATATCCAAGTCTCCTCTGTTCCAGGGGGCCCCTATAGTAATGCTTTCCAGATGTTTCAGCAAAGCAGAGTAAAATTCCTCTAACACACCATTTGCAAACGTCAGCCAAAATTATAAACTGTTCAGATACTACAAAATACTATCAGCTTTTATGATGCTGATAAAGATAGAACCTCTACAGACCCTATCTAACTGTGCATTAGCATGCTCTCAAGATGCTGAAAGAAAGAAATCATATCTCTCCACTCCTGATCCTTAGTCCAAATCTAGCCTACATCAAATAAAATAAAATCACATTTTATTTGTCACATGCGCCGAATACAACATGTGTAGAATTGACCGTGAAATGCTTAATTACGAGCCCTTTCCCAGCAATGCAGAGTTAAAAAGTAAGAAAAGATTAGCAAACAAAAAAAGGAACTAGTAACACAATAAAATAACAATAATGGTTTGTACGCGGTAAATTGCTGCTTGCCGCTCCGGCCGCCCAGAGTGGCTCGCTTGTGGGTGTACTGGCAACATATAGCAGCACGTTCGACTGTGCGTCAAGGATTCAGCATAGCAAGTCTGTATGAAGGTCTGGTTATTAAATGGGTAAATAGTTTAATCCATTTGTTATTTAATGAATTTATTCACAGGTAAATAGTGAGATGCTCTAAACCGCTCTGGTGACAAACAAACTTTGCTGCCCTATTTCCAATCGTCCACATGTCTGGGAGAACCTATTCAAGTAAGTAAATACATATTTATTTATTTTTTAAACAATGTATTATTAGCTAACTAGCTACAATGCAGGCTAACTCAAATGAGCTGCCAACGTAGCTAGCTAGCTATCTAGCCAACTTTACATACTGTATAGCTTGCTAGCTAGCTAAGTGAATTAAATATCACCAGCTACCTAACTTTTAGCTAGCTATCTTGATGTATTTATAATTGTAAAAACAAACTCAAAATGCATTTGTAGGTAGCTAGCTAACAGCCATGGAGAAGGGTGAAAGGATAGCAGCCCCAACTGTCAAAGTGAGAGAGTAGGCTATTATGGATAGGGCAGGTACTTTTGTGTAGTTCCAGTCCCTAGAAGTGAGGACATAGATAATAGTAACATAATATTCAGGGCTGTCTAATTTGAGTATAATTGAGTCTGTTTCTTGTGATGTTTTCTGTCCTCAGATACAGAGAGCTGTGAAAGCCTGTCTGCAGATGAAGAGGTCCCAATGAATATGAAGAGCAGTGGTTCTCAGTCCTGGTCCTGGGGACTCAAAGGGGTGCACATTTTAGTTTTTGCCTTAGCACTACACAGCTGATTCAAATGATCAACTCATCATCAAGCTTCAAGTGGTATTTATGTATTCATTTGTGATGCTATCCTTGATGTGATCCTGCTGTTGTCATATGTGTACACATGCATCTATCTATCCAATATTATCATGATTTGTTATAAGATATATAATACTTTAGTAATCCACAATGACCTGGTGATGTAAAAGTCTTATAATGACATTATCTTCCATATTCCTACAGATACCTTGCAACTGGAGATTCCTTCAAAACGATTGCCTACAGTTACTGTCTAGGGCACTGCACGGTTGGGTGACCAGGGCCATCTGGGACTGCCTCCTGGGGAAATTCAGGTGTGTGAAGGCTACCTGTGTCCTGCATAACTTCATGACAATGGACACGAGGACCAGGAGGAGATCTGCAGTTCACCGACGTGTGCCAGAGGAGAGGTCTGCTACTCTGCAGGATGTTTCAAGGATGGGGGCCAACAACACAGCACAGGAGGCAATCCATGTGTGGGAGATCTTCACCTCCTACTTCTTCGAAGAGGGTGCTGTTCCCTGGCAACACCATAGACTACACTATGCACAACCAAAGGCTCTTTTAAGAGCCATTCACATTTCAATAAGAGTATTCTTCCATTTACTTAGCTATGTCAACTGCAGTTATTCAATTGATTTCTACTTGCTGTTTAGGTAAGGGTGATGTCTGTACAAAAACAAAACAGGCTCCTTTAAGAGTCACCCATATTGAAATTTTTTTGTACAATTAGACACCCTATAACCCACAGCTACACACTCGTGTATCAATCTGATTGATGGATTGTGTTGTGCAGTAAGCAGGCTCAGGTGTATAACTGTGGCTCCTTCCACCTTCAAAGAATAGGCAAGAGGACCAACCATGGAGAATAGTAAGACACTTAATTATTTATATTTATATAACTACGCTATATTGTTTGTCCTCGTGTGTCTGTGCATGTTTTTCAGTATAAAGTACTCTGCAGCCACTTAGTGTGGACAACAGGTGAGGCAACACACACAGATTCCTGTTGAACACGGTCTCTTTAACTACCTTATTTTCTCAATAACAGTCTCTCTCCTTCACTTCATCCCTCTCCCCCTTCTCCCTAAATCCTCTAGGTTATATCAGCTGTGTCGGTGAACCCCTCCCGCATCTGACCTGGCTACATAGAGGGCACTGCATCTTCAGAGGTGAGAGGTCACTTGGTCGGGTCAACAGGAAGTATTATTAAAGAGATGCTTTACATTGAAATACAGATAGAGATGTAGTAGTCCCAGAGTTAATGATCCAAGGTCAGTTTTGCATTTCACCTCCTGATGATTATGATGACTGACAGTGTTAGCATGATTAAGCCTTGTGTTTTTTTTTATTCTATCTCTCTCCATCTGTCTCTCATCTGCAGGTATGTTTTGATGTGAGAGAGGATGCCAACCCCCAGTCCCGTCATCGCCACCTCACCCGCTCTTAAGATAACCTTTGGGCCAACTGGGGGCCCAAGGCAGGTCAGGAGACACCACTAGAGACACTATTATGTAATTGTGATGAACTGAGAGAATATGAAGTTTAGTAGCACTGCAACATTAATCATATGCAGTCTTCCCTGCTCCTCTGTTCTTCCCTCTTTCCCTTTCTGTATTTTACACTCTTTCTCACACCTCTCTCCCCACCTCCTCTTTCTTCCTCTGTTTTTATAATGCACACCAGATGTGCATTGAAGTACAGATTGAACTTTTATTTATAATATATATTACAATTATAATATTTATAATGCGTGTATTATGTATTTAGAACACTTGGATAATTAACTTCTTCAATAAAGCATTTCACATTCTCTACTGGTTGAAATTAAGTCTCTCATTTTATGAAATACTACACCTATCCTGTGTCCTCAGATCAGTGCAAATGAAGGAAACTAGATATTGAGATGAACCGGTTTTAGAGTATTTACATGATGCATAGGAAGTGTAGTGTACTGTTTTTTAAATTCTGTTTCTGTATATATGAATTACAAATCAGGCTTTAACTAGTTAAATCATGTTTCTAGTCTATTGCATAGTTACAATGTGTAACCGTTGGACCAGGACCAGGATTGGTAAACACTGTTGAAGTGTATAATTCAGGGGCGCAACTTTCACTGGGGATGGGGGACATGTCCTCCCCACATTCTGAAATTGCATTTTATCATTGGAATGTGATACAAAACGAGGCAACGGTGTGCTTTAGGACCATGCGGATGCATCCAAGCAGTCGGGTAGGCTGTTTGGAGTGTTTATCTGACTGGATAAAAATTATATTATGCTACATGGCTAGCTACACATCCATAGGCATACAGGTATTTCTATCCTCCACTACACAATAAGCAAGCAAATAGTTAGCTAGCTATGTTACTTCAGCTGCATTGCATGTCAAATATCTGCAAGACAAGCTTACAAAATTCTACATTCAATTTGCAGTAAATGCTTTAGCAATCTAGATTCTTTATATCCACTGTTTCACCAGACGACAGCCTGGTTTGCTGGTTTTCTCAGGAGTTGCTAAAACATTAAACAACACGAATGACAATTTCATTCTCATGTCACAACGCCCATAAAGTTAGCTAGTCCGCTAGCTTGCTAAATAGCCATTTACGTAAATTAACTTTATGACCAGAAATATGCACTTGGGAAATGCTGAATGTTTTCACCGCCTCCCACGCCACATTCGTGCTGCCCAACAGTCCCCCGCCCACTCTGCTTCTCACCACTCCTTCCACCCTGCACGGCACTGCGTGCTAGTGTACATAAAGGGTAACGAGGCTATATACAAGGAGTACCAGTACCGAGTCAATGGGCAGAGGTACGAGGTAGTTGAGGTAATTGAGATACATTTGGTGTATCATTTTATAACCGAAGGGACTGCGGGTTTACGACTATCACTAGTGTGCACGTGTGTGTGTGTATGTGTGTGTGAGAGAGAGAAAGAGAGAGAGAGAGAGAGAGAGAGAGAGAGAGAGAGAGAGAGAGAGAGAGAGAGAGAGAGAGAGAGAGAGAGAGAGAGAATGTTTATTTATTTTCCCTTTTGTACTTTAACTATTTGCGTATCATTACAACACTGTATATAGCCATAATATGACATTTGAAATATCTCTATTCCTTTGGAACTTTGTGAGTGTAATGTTTACTGTTCATTATTTTATTGTTTATTTCACTTTTGTTTATTAGCTATTTCACTTGCTTTGGTAATGTAAACATATGAGAGAGCGAGAAAGAGAGAGGCAGCACACTCAATCACCTCTGAACAGTCTGAGCAGGATAGGGCCCTGGAGTGTTCCTCACTCTTAGCACTGTGCTGCTGTTACGCCCCTGAAAAAGGGGAGAAATAATCACGAGAGTGATGCGGTTATGTTTCCTCACTGATGCGGGTATGTTTCCTCACTGACAACTTTAGTGTAATGAGGAAAAGACCGCAATTTCCCCGGGAACTTGGGTGTAGACCAGAGCAATCGATCTCAGGCTCATAGATTAAGAGCATTTAGTAGATCACAGATTAACACTTTTACCCTTAAATTAGGCACCACAAAATAAAGTAATCAATATAACGTTTACACATTCCTTTTACAATTTTAACTTTTTAACACAATTATATGAATTTGATCAATCTCTATGAACTAGTACTGAATGCATGACTGAATGCATGATCTTTTTAACCTTAGATATTTTAAGATCCTCACATACCATGAACTTACTAATACCTTTTAGTGTATAACAGGCTATGAGTATTTCCTTCAACCTGTCACACGCTCCCTGACAAAATAAATGTTGTCCCAACATTACCAACATTGTCTTCTTAAACAGTCTAAATGCACTGGACGTAGAAAATCCTCTTCTGTAAGCTAGTACTTGAGCAGAGGTCAAAGTTCACAGTTAAAATAGAACCAATAAGTTATATTCACAGTCCATATCTGTTGACCAGCTATATAAACAGTCCATAAGCAGTCTTTTCTCATACTATTGTCAACAGTCCATCAGTTTTAATGATCTATATGCATAGTCAGCAAATTGTCTCTTGTGACAGTCTGTGAAATCAGTCAGTAGTCCATGGTCAAACATGTCAACTCTGTAGCCTCATGTTTGCTGAAGTCCATACATGTAGGGTGGCTGAAGGTAATATCGCTGTAGTGATGGCAGCCATGGAACCAGTCCTGGTGCAGGGTAGACAGGGAACAACTGTGGCTGTATACTGTAGCAGGAAGGGATACCAAGCTGATCATAGGTGATACGTCTTGGAGGGTGTCTCTCTCTTTGTGGCAGCTGGTAGGCTGGTTCCTCAGGTTCAGCAGCAGCAGTTAATGAAGGAAAGGCACTTAGTGGACGATCATCAGGCAAATTTTCAGCAGGCAAGTTAATCTCCTCAGCAGGCAGGTCTTTAACTGTTGTTGTCTCCTCCAGCTGCTTTTCAACAAGAGGCTGTGCTGGTAACGTATCAGGAACTGGCACTGCAACTGTCTGTTTCACTGGTGGGGGCCTGTGTTCCGACTCTCTCGCTGGTTCAGCATACCTCTCCTCAGGTACTGTAGGAGATGTGGGGACCTGTAGCGGCTCATGATGAAGGTCATATTCATCCTGCTGTCTTCATCTGAATCTAGAGGCTGTGATGCAGGCTGATGTCTCTTTTTTTTCTTACTTTTGTCATCTTTAGTCATTTCTGGTTGTGTCTCAAAAGGTAAGTGGTCACAGGACATGCACAGGTTTCTGCGCAGGACCCGGGAGCGTCCCCTACCCTTTTCTGGTCTCAACTCATAAATCGGCAGGTCTGAACCCATTTGTCTCACTACTGTGTGAATTTGATCTTCCCAATAGTTACGGAGTTTGCCTGGTCCTCCTCTTGGTGTCAGGTTTTTAATCAGAACTCGCTCGCCAGGCTGTAGCACTGAACTCCTAACTTTAGTGTCATAGTACTTCTTACTTCTTTCAGCAGCTTTTTGAGCATTTTCATTTGCAATGGCGTATGCTTCTTCCATCCCTCATTTCCAGTTCTCCACGTAGTCTCACTGGTTACTGGAACCTGCCTCTGTGCACAATCCAAAGAGCATATCAACTGGAAGCCTGGGTGATCTCCCAAACAGAAGATACAATGGTGAATAGCCAGTCACTTCGCAACAGGTGCAGTTATAGGCATAAACCAGTTTGTTCAGGGACTCCTTCCAATTTGACTTTTGCGTCTCAGTTAGTGTCTTTAGCATTTGCAACAATGTTCTGTTCATTCGTTCCACTTGACCGTTCCCCATCGGGTGGTAGGGTGTTGTTCTGGACCCCGCCATGCCACTGAGTTTCTTTAACTGATGGAACAACTGATTTTCGAATTCTCCCCCTTGGTCATGTTGGATGCGGGCGGGGAACCCAAACTTCAAGGCAAAGTCATTGAAGATGAGATTTGCAGCAGTTTTTCCTGACTTTGATGTGGTGGCGTAGGCTTGGGTGAAACGTGTAAAATGATCAACAATCACGAGGATGTACTCATATCCCCCTTTGCATCTGTCGAGATGGAGGAAATCTATACATACCAGTTCAAATGGCTGTGTTGTCACAATGTTTGTCAGAGGAGCTCTTGTTTCATGGCCTGGCTTTTTCTGCTTGACACAGCTACAAGTTTTACATTTACATTTACGTCATTTAGCAGACGCTCTTATCCAGAGCGACTTACAAATTGGTGCATTCACCCTATAGCCAGTGGGTTAACCACTTTACAATAATTTATTTATTTATTTATTTATTTATTTATTTTGGGGGGGGGGGTAGAAGGATTACTTTATCCTATCCCAGGTATTCCTTAAAGAGGTGGGGTTTCAAATGTCTCCGGAAGGTGGTGAGTGACTCCGCTGTCCTGGCGTCGTGAGGGAGCTTGTTCCACCATTGGGGTGTCAGAGCAGCGAACAGTTTTGACTGGGCTGAGCGGGAACTATGCTTCCGCAGAGGAAGGGGAGCCAGCAGGCCAGAGGTGGATGAACGCAATGCCCTCGTTTGGGTGTAGGGACTTATCAGAGCCTGAAGGTACGGAGGTGCCGTACCCCTCACTGCTCCATAGGCAAGCACCATGGTCTTGTAACAGATGCGAGCTTCAACTGGAAGCCAGTGGAGTGTGCGGAGGAGGGGGGTGACACATAGTCACATAGTGCTCGATGTCAGATTGCATATATGGCCAGAAGAAGCGGTCACGTACTAGTGATACAGTGCGGTCAGTACCTTGGTGTCCCATGTTATTGTGCAACTCTTCCATCACTTTACCTTTATACTGCTCTGGTAGAACTAACTGCTTGCGGGCTGTAGTGATTCTGTACAGAATGCCATCACTGTCTATTGTCAATTTGTCCCATTCTCTGAATAGGCATTTTGTCTTTGGACTAGATTCCTTTTGCTCTTTAACTGGCGGTTTGGAACCAGACAGTTTGAAATCGAGCACAGGACAGATGACCGGATCAGACTCTTGTGCTTCTCTTATCCCATCTTTTGGAATCGAGCTGATTGTTGCAGTGGTTGTCTCACCTTCAGCTGATACTGACATAGATGCAGCTGAAAGTGACCAAGGTACAACAGACTCTTTCTGTAACTCAACTGCTTGTATTGTGGCGGCAATGGTGTCTGGTGGAAGCTCCTCAGAACATTCTCTCATCAGTGACTCTACATCCAGTGGCATCCTCGACAAAGCATCTGCATCACTGTTCTCTCTGCCTGGCCTGTACTTTATTGTAAAGTGGAAATCAGCCAATTCTGCAACCCACCTGGAAGTGGTTGCATTCAGTTTTGTAGTAGACAGAATGTAGCTGAGCGGGTTGTTATCGCTGTATACAGTGAAGGTCGGAGCATAGTACAAATAATCGTGGAACTTATCAGTGATTGCCCATTTTAGAGCTAGAAATTCTAGCTTACCAGAGTGGTAGTGCTAGTTCTTCTCAGCTGCTGTTAAGGTTCAAGAACCATAAGCAATGACCCTAAGCTTCCCATCTTGCTCTTGATAAAGAACTGCTCCCAAGCCTTGGTGTGACGCATCAGTGTGTACAACAAATGGCTGAGTGAAATCAGGGAAACCTAAGACTGGTGGGTGAAGCAAACACTCAATCAGCTGTTCAAGTGCCTGTTGATGCTGGTCAGTCCACAGGATTGGCTTGTTTGAGGGCACCACATGACTTACTTTCTTTGTTTTTGTTTTCCGTGGGTGGTCAGGTAATTTCTCTGAATCTGCTTTCAGGAGGTCATACAGACAGCTGGCCCTCCTAGAAAAGTCTTTGATGTACTGTCTGTAGTAAGTGAGTAAACCAAGCATTTTTCTGAGCTGGCCTACAGTCTCTGGTCTGATTTCTTTCAACGCTCTTACTGCTTCAAAATCGGCTGGGTCAACTCTGCTGCCCTCTGCAGACACTATTCTGCCCAAATAACGGACCTGGGGTTTAAAGAGATCACACTTACTTGGCTTGAGTTTGATGCCGTACTCTCTGAGACGCTGCAAAACTTTTCGCACATCATTCACATGGCTGTCGAAAGTTTTACTGAAAACTAGCGTGTCGTCCAGATAAGGAATGCAGATGTTATCCCGGAGCCCTTCCAAACATTCCTCCATACAATGCTGAAAAGCTGCAGGAGCGTTCATGAGGCCGAATGGCATACGTATCCACTCATAGAGTCCCCACGGGGTCACAAATGCTGTCAGTGATCTGCTTTCTTCAGAGATGAACCCCTGGTGATACGCTTTTCCCTGATCTAAGAGGGAGAACCAGGAATTACCACCTAAACTGTCCATGATGTCCTGGACCCGAGGGATGGGCTGGCGGTCGGGATGTGTCTTTCTGTTCAGGTCTCTGTAATCTATACACAACCGGAGGGTCCCGTCCTTCTTTCTAACGCACACGACAGGTGAAGAATATGAAGAGTTTGACTTCCTAACCCAGCCCTGGGTTATGAGGTCATGAAGGTAACCCTTCATCTCCTGATACAGTGGCCTGGGCACTGACATGTATGTGCGCCTGACTGGTTCAGAGTCCTTTAGAGAAATAGTCATTTTCAATCGTTCAATGCAGCCAATGTCATTGTCTGATCTGGAGAAGGAGTGACACTCTTCTCTAAGCATTTGCCTAACAACCTCTCTCTGCTCTTCGGTTAGGTGACTTAAACCTACTGTTGGATCCCACTGTTCAGTAGCAGTACATGGGGTTCGAACGCTGGTGTGATTCACTGTGGCTGGGGTGACAGCTTTTTCAAAGACTTGGGTAGGTAACACAGTCATAATTGTTTGTACTGTACTGATTAGTGTGCGTCCTAGCAGGGCAATGTTGTGGTCAGTGGGGTTAGAGACATCAAGCATGATAACTGGAAAAACACCTTTACTGACTCTGACTAGTGTGTCAAAGAACTCAAGTTCATCTGGCCACTGCAGGTTCAGGTCTGGCTGGAAAAGCATTGTCATGTCCTCTTTGAAAGGCTGGGGAGCTACACGGCACTCAATCTGAATGCTACTGTGTTTTGGTACAGCAATCTTCTCTTTCTTGGTTTTCACTGCATATTCATCTGTCTGTATAAAAGCTCTCACCTTGTTTATTTTGAGGCTTGGGAAAGCTTTTTTCACTGTACTGTACCGTTTAGTCTTTTCGGTCATTGTCAGGATGTGCTCGATAACATTGAAACCTATGATGGGATGAGATAGGTGACAGCCTTTCATTACCAGCACTGGGATGATCAGTTCCTTTGTTTGGTCAGTTTCAGAGGCTAGCCGAAAAGTTGTTTCAATCATCCCAGGTACGGCATTTCAGTGTCATTTGCTGCAGTCAATCTTAGATCATCAGGTGAGTCCAGCATTTCTGAAACATCCCTCAGCCTTGCGTTTGGGAGAGATTCCTCTTTCCATCGTTCATCAATGACCGATACCTGAGAGCCTGTGTCCCATAGGGCTTGGAGGTGGTGGCGATTCAGGTGACACTCAATAAGGCACTGTTTGCCGACTAGTGAGGTGACCTTATGGGGGTGGCAAACTTGAGCTAGGGATGGTAAAGAGTGGGCATTTTCCTCTGTACAGGAAAGCTTTTCACTGGTAGAGTCAATTTTCAGGTGAGTGCATTTTTCCTTATGTTTAGTCCAATGTTGGTTTTGACATCCTTTGGAACAGTACAGTGTTTCTTTACATGATGAACATTGTTTCAGGTTCTCAAATGAATCTTCTCTGGCACAATTTGCAAATTTCTGGGACTTTTTGGTAGCTACGGTTAACACTCGTCCCTCAGCGGTAACCCTTCCCCGTTTAAAAGGGGCCTCTTTTGATGGTCTGACTCCCCGGATTTTACATCCAGCTTGAAAATGTTCTCCACTCCCACATCTTAAGCAGTGTGTGCAGCGTGCATCTATTCTGGCCTGCTGGCAGACAAAACACCTCCTTGGAGCTTGAGCAGAGCGGTTGGTATACAGGTTAGGTGCATATTGATGCTGCGCAGGGTCAGGTGCTTGGGGCTGACTGTAGTTGCTGTAATGCTGCTTCTGGGAAACAGGTGGCTGGGGGTCCCTATCTGGCCTTCTAACTGGAGGTGGGGCATAGGCGTAAGGCGGTGACTGAAACATAGGCTGCTGTAATGTCTCCTTAATCTGAGCAATCTCTGCACTGAGACCTTTTAGGGAAGCTACACCTGTCTTAAGTTCAGCTAACTCTGTTAACAGTTCTGCGGGTATCTTAGCTTTGGCTTCCTTCACAGGACACTTTGCAGATGGCGTATCTTCTAACTGGACTACACTTACAGTTGTAGCAGGCTGTGGGGCATTAAACCGCTTTTTGTTTCGTCTTTCTATCTCATTAGCACAAGCAATGTTAAGCTTCTCTAGCAAAACCTCATCCGATGTTTCGCTATCTAGCAGGAGAGGCTGCATGTCTATCCTGATACTGTCACTCTGGAGACCTGTAAGGACTGTGTGTAAACACATGCACTGGACTAGAGCAGGGTCATACCCTGATTCTGACTCCTGGGACGCAAATAGTACTTTCTGCCTCAAATCTAAGACGCACATCAGGAAGCTTTGAGGGGTCTCCTTGCTATGCTGTGCTTCTGAAGCTAGCTCTTTGTAAAGCTCTGTTGCACTCTTCTCTTGGAAGTGGGAACGCAGGATGCATCTAAGTGTGGGAAGAGTTAGCTGGGGTTTACCTTCCAAGTAGCTGCGTAGCTCTGAGCCTGGAGAAATAGCCCTGATTACCGCATCTACTATTTCTACCTCAGGATAGCCTCTGTTAAATCCATTCTCAATCTGATGGGCAAGGCTGGAAAAAGTCAGTTTATCTTTCTGGCCCGGTTCACCTATCTGACCAGAAAATTGTAACTCCTTGCGCCAGTATGAGGCGGGCTGTGCACTGGGTGAGGGCTGCATGCTCCCCTGAAGATGGGCAGGGGGTTGGGGCTGGCGCAGAGAATCACTGGCTTTTCCGGCTGTTTCAATATCATGGTCAGTTTGCCCTGCTTTGTTATCTATGCCACTAATCATCTCTGTCATTTTGTCTTTAAGTAGCAACAATTCCGACATGCCGCCATCGTCTAACTCTGCAACTTCCTATCTTTCAAGGAACATCATAATGTGAGTCATCAATGATATGCGGGATTTGTCTTGAACATCTCTTCTCTGTTCGCCTGTTATGTCAAGGAAATCACATACGTCTAGTAACTTTTCTTTAGTCAGGGTGTGCAATTCTCCTACTACCTCTTCCTGTAGTTCTTCCAAGGCGGTTGTCATGTTGACAGGAGGAACTTTTACTGTGCAGGAGTTGACTCTGAATTAGATGGTCCTTACTGTCTCTGATGGTCTCTCAATGGCCTCAGTTGTCACGTACTTAACCACCAACTTCCATCTCCCCTCGAACAGCAACACTTTCCTTACTGCAGCCTGCCTGGGTTGTTATGTGGGGATTTAGCTGGCTCGGAATTCAGCGACCAGGATGTGGAAACCGGACATCTGAGCAGCAATCTCAGCGGAGCCTCCAAAATGTTACGCCCCTGAAAAAGGGGAGAAATAATCACGAGAGTGACACAGTTATGTTTCCTCACTGAGAACTTTAGTGTAATGAGGAAAAGACCGCAATTTCCCCGGGAACTTGGGTGGAGATCAAAGCAATCGATCTCAGGCTCATAGATTAAGAGCATTTACTAGCTCACAGATTAACACTTTTACCCTTAAATTAGGCACCACAAAATAAAGTAATCAATATAACGTTTACACATTCCTCTTACAATTTTTACCCTTTGTACGCTTGACGGGTTTTAACTTTTTAACACAATTATATGAATTTTATCAATCTCTATGAACTAGTACTGAATGCATGATCTTTTTAACCTTAGTCACACTGCTCCCTCTTCACTAACTGGGCATTGTTGTCTCTCCACCCACTCAGAAGCTATTGCTACAAAGTGGATAGCTCCACTTTCTCTGCAGGATTGTACAAATCACTACCTGTTAGTCTGCTCAGAGATAACCAACAGAATAACACACCTGCAATGTTCTTAAAGATGGAGATAAAGGTTTTGATTGGACTTCATCTACAGTATGCATCTCAAAAACATATAATAGTAATGCTAACATGTGGCCTCCCTAAACTCTCTCCAATACTAGCTCTCCATACTCCCCATTCACAGTTTCTCTCCTCGTCTTTCCTCTCCTCTTCTCCAGAACTTGTACCAGAACAGGTTTCTGGGACTCGGACTAGCAGGTATGGCATCCCCGTCTCGTTCGTCCCAGAACCGCCGGCGCTGTAAGCACCCGATCCGCCACAGCTACAATCCCGAGCAGTTCCCTAATGTCAACTTCCAGAACGGCTTTCCCGAGGACGTGGCGACCATGCACCGCTCGACCAGCGACACAGACCTGGTGACATCACACAGCCGTTCCACGCTCACCGTCAGCACCTCGCTCTACGCCATCGGTCAGACCCAGGACATCCTCATCTGCTGGGACATCAAGGAGGAGGTGGACGCTGGGGACTGGATCGGCATGTACCTCATTGGTGAGCACTGCCATAAAAAATGTTAGAACATTTTTACAATGGATTTTCATAGAAGCAATAAGTAACAGTAGATGATAGAGGCAGCTAGAGACAGTGAGATGAAGAGCAGTTTGTTTCCAATCTTGTAAAGCTGTTACACATACTGCATGTGATCTTCTTTGAAGTTGCTTGTGAGGAAGAGGAAGAAATGTCTAGGACAGGAACTAGAATGTCAAGTCTACAAGGGACTGTATGTACAGTACATAGAGTGCAATGCGATGACTCCGGTCATGTCCGGTCATGTCAGGTCTGCATTCCCTTATCATTTGAGGTAATCTAAAGGTGTTGATGTGGTGTCCTGATAAGGTGTTGTGGGGCTCAGACACAGTTAATGTAACATATCCACAGGTAACTGACAATGCTTGTGTGATAATGTAATGTGACTTTGTATCTCACCTTTCCTCCCTCTCTTTCCTCTCTCTCAGAAGAAGTTTCGTCTGAGAACTTTCTAGACTACAAGAGCCGCGGAGTGAATGGTTCCCACAAGGGCCAGATAGTGTGGAAAATTGAGGCCAACTCCTATTTTGTGGAGTGTAAGTGCATTTCTGGAAATACATCCAAAACCAGCTACATTACAGTACACAACATCCCCCACAAACTGAGAGAGCTGTTTTATAACGGATGTAGCATCTAGCGCTCAGAACAGGACACTGCTTCGTCAGGGCATATTGCATATCTTTACATAACACTGAAACTATCTCATAACTATTTTGTTTCTCATTACCATTGTGACCATTTTGTATCATGCATATCTGCAGACTTCCATAAGTTTCAGGATTTCCCTGTAGAATCACAAATCCTTCTTACTCTGCACAGATGAAAGCAAGTCTATTAGGCAAGGGATTCCCATCAATAAAATAATTTACATCATTTACACAGCCAAATGATCCCATTAGTTCCACTAGACTAGAACCCACACTGACTGTATAGTACAGTAGGCCCCGGTGTGGACAGCTCTGGTTAGACACAAAGTGGATCTATGAGTAATTACCATAGGGCTATCCTCCTCTCATCTGGTCCTGCTAATGTAAGGCTTTGTTATCTGTGGGTGATTTTGTTATTTAGCTAACACTGCTTATTGCTTATTTACCTAAAGTAAGACTCATCCCTCAAAGAGCTCCTCCCACCTCATCAGTGGGGACAGCTCATTCGCAAGAATCAGATATCAATCAATATTTTAGCCAATACCATTCGCTGGTGCCTGTGTGCCTCCCTGTAGGCTCAGTGGTGTTGATTCTAAAGCATCTCAATTTAGCTACCACAGTAGATTAGCAGCTTGGAAAGCAGCCACTGAGATTCTTATCTCTCTGTGTAATTAAAGTGAAAGTATGATCTGTCTGTGTCAGACTCTCCGCTGCTAATAACCATGTAGCTGAGGACAGTCAGCTCTCTCTCTCCCCCAGTTTATTGGCATGCTGCTCACAACAGCTTTCTTAGGTCACGCTGGTGTGGCTCTGGCCTGTTTTTGAGAGCTGTCCAACTGTGAAACGTGATAAAGGTGCCAATAAACAGAGAAATAATGTATAATGCAAACAGTAGGTCATTCTAAAAAGAAAGGACAATCTCTCTCCTGTTCATAAACTAACCCATGTCCGCTCTCTTCTGTCATCTGTCTCTTCTTTCCTCTCAGTGGAGACCAAGATCTGTTTTAAATACTACCATGGTGTGAGCGGGGCACTGCGTGCCACCACCCCCAGTTTGACTGTGAAGAACCCCTCGGTTCCGGTGAGTGTGTAGGACTACTTAGACCCAACCTGGTATTAGTGCTACATGGGCTCTATGTGTTCATATGGGCTTCTCAAAGGGCACTGAAGTAAGAGATGGTGGGTGAATTACAATGGATCTACTGTATGTCTTTCCATCTCAAGGATATATTTTTCCATTGTCTGGGTTGAAGCTTATCACTAGAGCCTAGAGTGGTCAGAAACAAATCCTGACTGTTCCAGAAAGGGGTCAGCATCTCATCTGTTGTCCAGTGTTACCTGGATTACTAGGGGTTATCAGACGTGACATAAAGGGAAGCTATATTGGGTTTAGCAATCCATTAGATTGGTTAGCCTTCTTTTCTCATTGACTGGAAAAGAAAATCCTGAAATTGAAAGAGATCTACAATAGCACTAAGTGTAAATTATTATACGCTTATTGGCTGGATGACATTGCCTGTCCTGAGAGAGATCACGCACAGACAGACAGTATGTACAGTCTAAGAGATAGACAGACAGATAAGCCACAGCCAGAGGTGAACAGAGAGCTGGAGGGGAATCAGAGAATTTCCTTGTGTTGTCCCTGTTGTGGAGTATACTGTAGTAGAGGTCCCCTGTGGGCACTTAGTCCCAGCTGTCTGCTGGAGGCCCACTGCAGCCAGGGAGTGACATGCATCAGCCCAGGCCTAGTCACTAGTCCTCCTAGAGATCACACCCAGAGGAACAATCTCAGAGAAACACATCAATGCCACAGCCTGTCAAATGTCATTGTATTGTTACTGCTGTGATGGTGTGTGTGTGTATGCGTTCGTGTGTTTGCATCTGATCCGTATCCCGCACTCACATCTCTCAGTGGCCCTCCATCATCTCTCAGTGGCCCTCCATCATCTCTCAGTGACCCTCCATCATCTCTCAGTGACTATTTTCCATTAACCCGCCTGCCTGCTATAAAGACCCTTAGGCAGGCTTATACCTGTGGAGGAGGAGCAGGGAGGAGAGGTGCTGTAAAGGCTGGCGCTGATGTGACTCTCTCTCTCTCTCTCTCTCTCTCTCTCTCTCTCGCTCTCTCTTTCTCAACCTATCTCTCTCTCCCTCTCTCTCTATTTAGGTGTTTAAGCCCATCACCAATGAAGAAGTCCCCCAGAGCACAGGCAGCAGAAGACTCATTAGCTTCTCCCTCTCAGGTGAGCATGGCCCAGCACCCCCCACCACCCCCGTTACCCTGACAACACATCTCTACAGGGTTGGGCCAGCACACGTGCCAGCATCATTGTGGCAAAGGGCAACACACAGCTTGCGTCTCCATAGCAACTCATCCCAGGATTCAGATACAGTACTATCATCCATCTGGAGTACATCATGTTCATAACAGGAAGGAATGTTCTGTGCCAACTGCCAACTGGCATGATACAGAATGCTAGCAGTTAGAGAAATATCGACAAACCCACACTTACATGACGGTGACGAACAGGATTCCTTTCTCCTAACACTTCCATACTTAAATGGGGCTGTTTCATTCCCAAACGCTGCATGAAGAAATACATCACATCTGTAGAAATGTCACAAAAGCATCCTAACAAGTAAGGTTGTGACTCATCATAGGAAAAGCACAGTGAGTCTATTGTGCTAAGTGTTTCTGACAGTCCTGAGTTGGGTTGGATTCCTAACTGTGAGGGATGCAGCAGCAGTAGAGGCGGTATGATCCAGTTCCATCTTATTCACAGTGAGGTAGTGCAGACGAAAGGTGGGTGTGACAGCTTGCTAAGTCATGTATCCAAACGGTTCTCTCCCCCATGGGAGATGTCAGGAGGAGGCAGATGTGATTTCAGACAGCAGCTCTTCCCCCTTCGTCTTCAGCTTTGATCAACACAGGCTTACAAATACTAAACAAACAGACTGACTGTAGTTGTCCCTGTCTAGTCCCAGATCACTAGAAGGCTATGCTACTGTATGACATGGCTGTCACAAATATTAGAGAGCAGAGATGGAGAGAAGTTAAAGTTAAATGCCATGCTATGCAAAATAATAATTCTGTCTAGACTTATTTTTCAGGGTGAGTTTATGCCCCTCTATTGTAGAAGTACAGCATACTGTGGCAACACATATTTAACAGGATATTGAACTGAATTGATTTGCAGAGCTAAAAGGAACATTCTCTTTCTCAAGGACATTCCTGCTGCCTGCACTCTGCTCCTCTTTGTCAGAAGTATGGGATTTTCTTAAGCCCTTAAAGGTGTCATTTTAAGGGCCTTTTATCCTCCTTGTGTCCTCCTCTATACTCTCATCGTCTCTGGTAGATTTCCACGCCACGGGGCTGAAGAAAGGGATGTTCTTCAACCCTGACCCCTACCTGAAGATCGCCATCCATCCCGGCAGGAATAGCATTTTTCCGGCGCTGCCACACCACGGCCAGGAGAAACGCTCAAGCATCGTTTGTAACACCATCAACCCCCGCTGGCAGAGAGAGGTGAGAGGAGGGCCCTGACAAGGCTTTATATGCTATGTGTTCCTATGAAAAAGAGAGGAACCTTGAGTATGCTCTCTGTAACAGGGCAATAAAGTCAGGCAGAGTGACCGTTTTAGGGAGCTTTATACAATATGTTATACTGGTACTGTTTACCTGGAACCATATTGAAACACTAACTGGGATGTACAGTATTTACACAGGTGTAACCAACGTTGGTTTTATTGTTTTTACAGAGAGAGAACAAGTGCTGAAAATCGGTTACAACAGTTTTGGTTTGGATGTGATGAGTTGGTACCACTATCCCTGCAATATATACTTTTTTTAATATACACTGAGTGCACAAAACAATAGGAACACCTGCTCTTTCATTTATATTTACATTTACATTTACGTCATTTAGCAGACACTCTTATCCAGAGCGACTTACAAATTGGTGTATTCAACTTATGATAGCCAGTGGGACAACCACCTATTTATTTATTTCTTTCTTGTTTTTTATTAGTTGTTGTTTTAGTTTTTTGGGGGGGAGGATGGGGGAAGAATGATTACTTTATACTATTCCAGGTATTCCTTAAAGAGGTAGGGTTTCAAGTGTCTCCGGAAGGTGGTCAGTGACTCCGCTGTCCTGGCGTCGTGGGGGAGCTTGTTCCACCATTGGGGTGCCAGAGCAGCGAATAGCTTTGACTGGGCTGAGCGGGAACTGTGCTTCCGTAGAGGTAGGGTAGCTAGCAGGCCAGAGGTGGATGAACGTAGTGCCCTCGTTTGGGTGTAGGGTCTGATCAGAGCCTGAAGGTAAGGAGGTGCCATTCCCCTCACAGCTCCGTAGGCAAGCACCATGGTCTTGTAGTAGATGCGAGCTTCAACTGGAAGCCAGTGGAGTGTGCGGAGGAGCGGGGTGACATGAGAGAACTTGGGAAGGTTGAACACCAGACGGGCTGCAGCGTTCTGGATAAGTTGTAGGGGTTTAATGGCACAGGCAGGGAGCCCAGCCAACAGCGAGTTGCAGTAATCCAGACGGGAGATGACAAGTGCCTGGATTAGGACCTGTGCCGCTTTCTGTGTAAGGTAGTGTCGTACTCTGCGAATGTTGTAGAGCATGAACCTGCAGGATCGGGTCACTGCTTTGATGTTAGCGGAGAACGACAGGGTGTTGTCCAGGGTCACGCCAAGATTCTTTGCACTCTGGGAGGAGGACACAATGGAGTTGTCAACCGTGATGGCGAGATCATGGAGCGGGCAGTCCTTCCCCGGGAGGAAGAGCAGCTCTGTCTTGCCGAGGTTCAGCTTGAGGTGTTGAGCCGACATCCACACTGATATGTCTGCCAGACATGCAGAGATGCGATTCGCCACCTGGTTATCAGAAGGGGGAAAGGAGAAAATGAATTGTGTGTCGTCTGCATAGCAATGATAGGAGAGACCATGTGAGGATTTGGCAGAGCCAAGTGACTTGGTGTATAGAGAGAATAGGAGAGGGCCTAGGACTGAGCCCTGGGGGACACCAGTGGTGAGAACACGTGGTGCGGAGACAGATTCTCGCCACGCCACCTGGTAGGAGCGACCTGTCAAGTAGGACGCAATCCAATAGTGAGCAGCGCCGGAGATGCCCAACTCGGAGAGGGTGTAGAGGAGGATCTGATGGTTCACAGTATCAAAGGCAGTGGATAGGTCTAGAAGGATAAGAGCAGAGGAGAGAGAGTTAGCTTTAGCAGTGCGGAGAGCCTCCGTGACACAGAGAAGAGCAGTCTCAGTTGAATGACCAGTCTTGAAACCTGACTGGTTTGGATCAAGAAGGTAATTCTGAGAGAGATAGCAGGAGAGTTGGCTAGAGACGGCACGCTCAAGGGTTTTGGAGAGAAAAGAAAGAAGGGATACTGGTCTGTAGTTGTTGACATCGGAGGGATCGAGTGTAGGTTTTTTGAGGAGGGGTGCAACTCTCGCTCTCTGATATAGACTGACGAGGTGAATACAGGTGAAAGCTATGATCCCTTATTGATGTCACCTGTTAAATTCACTTCAATCAGTGTAGATGAAGGGGAGGAGACAGGTTAAAGAAGGATTTTTAAGCCTTGAGACAATTGAGACATGGATTGTATATGTGTGCCATTCAGAGGGTGAATGGGCAAGACAAAATATTTAAGTGCCCTTGTCACGCCCTGACTCTGGGGACTCTTATTTGTTAAGTCAGGGTGTGTATTTTCTATGTGGTCTAGATCTATGTTGGCCGGTGTGGTTCCCAATCAGAGGCAGCTGTCGCTCGTTGTCTCTGATTGGGGACCATACTTAGGCAGCCTTTTGGCACTAGTGGGTTGTGGGATCTTGTTCTGTGTGAGGTATGTTTTGTGTTCTACCTTGGACTTCACGTTTCGTTTAGTTTGTTGTTTTGTCGTGTTGTTTATTAAGTTAAAATAAACATGTACGCATATCACGCTGCACCTTGGTCCGTCCCGTTTATGAACGATCTTGACAGAAGATCCCACCCGACCTGGACCAAGCAGTGTGCCGAGGAGGAGCAGAGAGGATGGACTTGGCAGGAGATGAGAGAGGATCTGGCAAGAAAGATGGAGGCCCTGATCAGGGTGGAGAGGCAACCCCAAGAACATTTTTTGGGGGGGCACACATTTTTTGTTGTGTTACGTTAGGACTTCACGTGTCGTTAGTTTATTGTTTTGTCGTGTGTTTATTCGTGTAAATAAACATGTTTGCATATCACGCTGCGCCTTGGTCCGTCCCGTCCGTCAACGAGCGTGACAGCCTTTGAACGGGGTATGGTAGTAGGTGCCAGGCGCACTGTTTTGAGTATGTCAAGAACAGCAACGCTGCTGGGTTTCTGGGTTTTTCACGCTCAACAGTTTCCCGTGTGCATCAAGAATGGTCTACCACCCAAAGGACATCTGGCCAACTTGGCACAACTGTGGGAAGCGTTGGAGTCAATATGGGCCAGCATCCCTGTGGAATGCATTCGACACCTTGTAGAGTCCCTGCCCCAACGAATTGAGGCTGTTCTGATGGCAAAAGGGGGTGCAACTCAATATTAGGAAGGTGTTCCTAATGTTTTGTACACTCAGTGTATATGAATGTGACAGTAACTATATTAACTTGAGGAACAATGTGTATTGTAAGGGATGCTGATATCTCATTAAACCCATCCGCTGTGTTCCTCCTCCTCATCATGGGGGGATTTACATTTACACTGCTAATGAGGAGAGTGCTTTGGAGGACAGACAGACAGCCAGAAAATGGGTCAAACAGGCAGGCATGCAGGCAGAGATAGACAGAGAGGGAGCGAGAGAGAGAGAGCGAGAGTAGAGGAAGGTAGAGGGGGTAGGAGGATGAATGGGAAAGGGGGGAATTTTCTTTTTCATGTCTCTTGGAGAGAGGGAAGGGAAAGGAAGGTTGAGGGACTGACAGACTGACAGACAGACTGACAGACAGACAGACAGACAGACAGACAGACAGACAGACAGACAGACAGACAGACAGACAGACAGACAGACAGACAGACAGACAGACAGACAGACAGACAGACAGACAGACAGACAGACAGACAGACAGACAGGCAGGCAGGCAGGCAGGCAGGCAGGCAGGCAGGCAGGCAGGCAGGCAGGCAGGCAGGCAGGCAGGCAGGCAGGCAGGCAGGCAGGCAGGCAGGCAGGCAGGCAGGCTTATTAACATTTGACTTGTTTAGGGAGGTGTATTCCCCTCCCTGCCTGTATCTCCTCCTCCTGAACACAGCAGTACTCCCTCCCCCTCTTTATATACCTCATCATTACCCTTCTTCCACTTCCTGTAGTCAGCAGACAGTGTCTCCTTCTGATTCAGTGGCTTTGGATTCATAAGCTATTTCAAGGACAAGAAGTCAAAATGCATTATCATTTATAATGTATGAATTATACATTTACACCATGACTCAGAGTTTCCTCATGTGATAATCCTCTTTTATAACCATGCTGGTAAAAGTTACCTCTCTCTCCCTATAATAGGGTATTACTGGGTTACCGGTACTCATTTAGCTAATGGTTCAATTATGTGGCGTCACCCTGAAAGGGCAGGAAATATGTCACAGACCCAGCTCTGCTTTAGCACAGTATCAACAACCCTTCAGTATATTGAGGGGAAGGATATAGCAGCGCCACTCTGTATGATTTCTGCAGGCTTCATGCTGGGTCTGACTGTATAATTAAGAGTTTAGCTAATAGAGTAGGTCCCTCCCTCTTCGTGTCTCCCTCTTGTACCTTGAAAAGATCCAGGGCTTCTGTGAGGAAGGCTGAAGGCAGCGGAAAAGTGCACCCTACTCCCTCACCCTCCCCTGTTTGATATTCAGATCAGGCGCAGCCTTCCTTCGCTCCCTCAAGACTCCCTGACAGAGAGAGTCATGGGAGTACAGGTAAGGGCACACATCAGTACAGGCTAGGGTTTTATATAAACCACAGCACCCCACCACCACCACCATTCTGCCGCTCAGGCACAGTGTGCATCCCAAATGGCACCCTATTCCCTAGTACACTACTTTTGACCAGCGCCCATCTACTATATAAGGAATAGGGTGCCATTTGGGATGCAGCCAACCTCACGCCATCATCATGTTCTATTCTCAGCAGCTGAAACACTTTTCAATAATAGAACTCCCTGTTTGTCTCCCAAATAGCACCCTATTCCCTTTATAGTGCACAACTTTTTACCACGGCCCACTCTGGTCAAAAGTAGTGCACTATATAGGGACTAGGGTACTATTTGGGATGTAGCCACTCTATCTCCTTATAGGGCTCCAGGCTCACATCTCATGACTGTATGCATGCTGCGATCGCAAATGAATATTTATTTCTCATACCATTCTTCGTTCTTGCATAAACATGATGCTGAAGCTGAGTTCTATTTCTGGGTGTTGTTCATGGTGCAGCAGCGTGAGGCAACCCTCGTTTCCAAAGGTTAACGATGGGTCCCGGCTGTGGCGCTTCGATTAATTGATCCATTATGAAGGCCTTTTTATAGCATGTGCTGTG